TTTTTTTTTTCCTAATTGTATTTGTCATTAATACATTGTTTTTACTTGTTAGTGATAGTTAGGGGTATTAAACTATGAGTTTGTTTGTTAGACTATGCTAGTCGAGTTTGAGCTTGTTTAACTAACAAGCATGATAGCTCGAAAAGTTCGAGCCTAGTTCGACGGGGCACCAATTTTATTTTTACTGGTCACTATTTACATGTGAAAATAAGATGCTAATATTTTTTAATTAACAAGGGTTAATTTAAAAAGTTGTGTAGTTAGTTGTGAGTTTATATAAAAATAACATTTAAAATAAAATAATTAAAATAGGTTTGATGTAAAAGTACGGGAGATATGAGAGATATGATATGATGTGATGATTAGTTAAAATTATATGAGTGGATGAATGATGAATTAAAATTGATATGATGTGTAAAAATTTTAGTTATTATTATTTAATGATTGATTGTTATTGTTAATTATATTAATAATACTGAGGATAGTAGAGTTGAAGTTAAAATTGACTTAGATTTTAGTATAATTTATTTGGTTTGAGCGAATCATTCAAACACAGCCTAAACGACGTCGCATCGCGCGATTTTTCTACTCAAAAAGCCAAAATTATCGAGTTCGAGTGGGAGTGGGAAATGGAAAATTAGCCCTAGCGTCGTCTCAGAGCTCAGACTCAATTTCCCGCTCAACCCAAATCCCAAAACCCCCCAAAATGGCCGACAAGAGGAAGCGCCGCCGCGCCGCCGACTCCGACGACGAATCCGACCCGCTCCAGTTCAAATCCAAGCTCAAGCCCGACTCCTCCATCCTCCAGATCCTCAAAACCCTCAAGTCGTCCGCCGCCACAGCCTCCGCCGCCGCGCGATCAGTTTCCCTCTCAGATCTCAACCTCTCCACCGCCTGCCGCGAGGTCTCCGACCTTCCCCTCTCCTCCGTCCAGTCCTCCATCGAGTCCCTCGCCCTCTCCCTCGCCCGCTCCATCCTCGCCGGCGACGGCTTCTCCTTCTCCGTCCCCTCACGCGCCGCCGCCAACCAGCTCTACGTCCCCGAGCTCGACCGCATCGTACTCAAGGACAAGTCCTCCGGCCGCCCCTTCGCCAGCGTCTCCTCCGTCCGCAAGGCCACCATCACCACCCGCATTCTCCAGCTCATCCACCAGCTCTGCCTTAGGAGCATCCACGTCACCAAACGTGACCTCTTCTACACCGACGTCAAGCTCTTCCAAGACCAGTCCCAGTCGGACGCCATCCTCGACGATGTTTCCTGCATCCTCGGCTGCACCAGATCCAGCCTGAACGTGGTCGCAGCTGAGAAAGGCGTCGTGGTCGGCAGGCTCATCTTCAGCGACAATGGAGACATGATCGACTGCACTAAAATGGGGATTGGCGGGAAAGCAATCCCTCCCAATATCGACCGTGTGGGTGATATGCAGAGTGACGCCTTGTTCATCCTCCTGGTCGAAAAAGATGCTGCTTACATGAGGTTAGCTGAGGACAGGTTCTACAATCGATTTCCCTGCATAATTGTGACTGCCAAAGGCCAGCCGGATGTTGCCACTCGATTATTCCTTCGGAAAATGAAAATGGAACTGAAACTTCCGGTTCTAGCCCTAGTCGATAGCGACCCGTACGGGCTCAAGATTTTGTCTGTGTATGGTTGTGGGTCGAAGAACATGTCTTACGATAGCGCAAACCTCACGACCCCCGATATAAAGTGGCTGGGAATTAGGCCAAGCGATCTTGACAAGTACAAGATACCGGAGCAGTGTAGGCTGCCGATGACCGACACTGATATTAAGACGGGTCGGGATTTGCTGGAGGAGGATTTCGTGAAGAAAAACGAGGGTTGGGTGGAGGAGCTGAATCTGATGGTGAAATCGAGACAGAAGGCTGAGATTCAGGCGTTGAGCTCGTTCGGGTTTCAGTATCTGACGGAGGTATATCTGCCCTTGAAGTTGCAGCAGCAGGATTGGCTCTGAGTTCCGAGTGATGGTGGTAAATTTTCTATCTAATGGCTATTTTTTTTCTCTCTAAAGAAAAGAAAGTGTTCCCTTTTTTGTTGTGGATGATGTGCTTCAATTGATCATGATGGTTTCATTCATCAAGAAGGGATGTGCTATTCTAAATTGAAACTTGGTGTGACTTGGACTCATATTTGCAATTGTTTTGAAAAGGAACTATGTACTTTGATTGCTAAAATTTCTTAGTTTTTTTAAGATGAATTTAGCATTGTGGTGTATTTATGATGCTGTGGATGGGTTCATATGATCCTACCTATTTGGAAGACAATTGACACATGTTGGGACTTCAACATTAATGGTGATGATTTAGGAGATCAATAAAAGAGCATTCACAATCACTTCCTTAGTGGTTTAATTATCTCTTTGGCTTGCATAGAGAGTAGTAAGTGTGCCATTGACCAGTTTTGAATGGATTTATTGGTTAAAATGGATTAATTTTGAATAAATTGATTGAGTGGATTTTGTGTTTGCATTTATTTAAATAATATTTAAAATATAATGATTGAAGTTGATTCATGTAAAATTACGAGAGAGATGTTATTGAAAATGATAGATAGTTAAAAATATGTGCTTTTGATGAATAATGAAATAAAATTGATGTGATGTGTGAATTTTGATGTAATTTATTTAATTGTATTGGTAATATTGAGTAGAGTTGTTAATTTAAATTTGAGTTGGATTTTGAGTTCATTGTCTGGTCGATATCTTTTAATTTGTAGTCAATCGCTGAAGTAATCCATTAGGAGGGACATCCGAAAAAATTGCGATAAAATTGGAACGATACAGAGAAAGAAAAAAAAGTAATCCATTAGGGTCAGCAATAGACATACTAACGGTTAGATAATCAAACTATTTAATCAATATAAATTCACACTCAATTAAGACCAAACAGTTGAACAAACTAATAACAACATTTGTATAATTAAATTAATATGTCCGCGAATTTCAAAATTTTCCAGGCAACTAAGACGATGAGAAAATCCAAGCACAAAAAAAATAAAAATAAAAATAAAAATAAAAAGACGATGAAAAAATAAGGAAAAAACAGGTAATATAAAAAGGAAAATATGAATTTGCTATTTTATTTTTACAAGGAAATTGAAACATGATTTTCTTGGTGGGCCTTGGACCCAATCCAACAATTCAAGCCATAAACTGGATGGCTACCCGAACCACAACCCAAGCCCGCTAAACTTTGGAAGGGTGTTATCGTAACTACACCCATCCCCGTAGTTTCTCGAAAACCATGTCGCCCGCCTGCCCGCCTGAGAAATGAGAACCTCATCTCAACCTCAAATCACCTCCCACACCACAGCTCCTCCGCCGCGACCGGCCGCAGTTTCTTCTCCGGCGCCGGAGAATATCATCCGATCACCTATTTTCCGAAAGAAAATTCCAATCTACAGATCATAGAAAATAGAAATCGGAAAAATGCCTCCTAAACAGCAATCGAAGGCGGATTTAGCGAAGAAGCAGAAGGTAGTCGAGGACAAAACATTCGGGTTGAAGAACAAGAACAAGTCAAAAAATGTTCAGAAATACGTGCAGTCCCTCAAGCAGTCCGTTCAGCCCAAGCCCGACCCGAGCAAACTCAATGCCCAGGTCGAGCACTCTAGCTCGTTCCATCATTTTTTAGTCATTTTTTTTTTTTTTTTTGTAATTAGTTTTTCATGCTTCGAGTATTTGTGTTGATAGTTTTGATTATTATTGCATTCAACAGAAGAAGAAAGAGGAGGAGAAGACCAGGGAGAAGGAGCTGCAGGAGTTGTTTAAGGTTGCTGTTAAACAACCTAAAGTTCCTGTCGGTAAATTTCTCTGAGTCATTTTGATTAAATGTTAGCACAGTGGAAATTTACTGTATTACATTGTGTTTGATTCTCGATTCGCGTATACTTTGTTGTTTGATTTCGTCGCGAATTGTTATCTGTAGATTTATAGTAGTGATTGGTATCGTGAGTTTTCTTTTGGGTCGGTTTTGGGGAAAAGTTAAGTGAGGATATCATATTAACTATGCAATTGTTTTCAGGTGTTGATCCAAAGTCAATTGTGTGTGAGCATTTTAAGGTCGGGCAATGTGCGAAAGGGTTTAAGTGCAAATTTTCTCATGACTTGAACGTGCAGAGGAAAGGAGAGAAGATAGATATCTACAGTGATAAACGTGATCAAGGTTTGTATTCCAAGTTCCTTTCCTCTATTTCTAGGTAACTCTAGTTCTTGTAATTACAGTTTGCCTATTTGATATCTCCTTCATATTTCTAAACCTTTTGCTTTGTTTCAAACATAAAAAAGAACAAGAACCTATGGAGGAGTGGGATCAAGAGACATTGGAGAAAGTTGTTGCGTCCAAGAGCAACGAGTACAACAAGAACAAGCCTACTGATATAGTAAGACATTCCTTCAGTTGACTATCTTGTTGAGCTATCTCCTTGGAATGATGAGAGCATTACTTGTACTATATGTTGCTTGTTATTCTTTCATCGGATTCTAATATACCCATGAATATTTCATTAGTCACTGCAAGAGGATGATATGATAAGTAGACCTGCTTAAAAAGAAGAAAAGAAAGAGAAAATTTTGAAGACATGCCTAAATTAAAGTTTCATTATTCTAGATATTGAGGATGATGTTACTGCATCAATCAACATATGTAAGCTTATCCGGTGAATGGAAGGTCAAACTGAACAGGCAGAACTTATGAGTTTTCGTTTATGTTCCTTATGCTTGGTTTTGTTCTAACACATGTGAGCCATGAGCATTTTCTCATCGACTCATTCATTTTTGTTATATTTTTAACTATCCTTCTGTTTTGCTTGCCTTTATGACATACTTGTATGCCCGTTCTGTCTTTTTGTTATTTGCAATAACATTTAGTTATTTTTTTGACTCCTCGTCTTTTGAAAGGTGTGTAAATACTTTCTGGAAGCAGTTGAGAAGAAGCAGTACGGTTGGTTCTGGGTCTGCCCGAATGGTGGTAAAGAATGTCACTACAGACATGCTCTTCCCCCTGGATATGTTCTAAAGTCCCAGATGAAAGCTCTTTTAGAGGAGGAAAGTGAGAAGATATCCATCGAGGAGGAGATAGAGAACCAGGTATTGCTATAATTACAAATGCGGCTTTTCCCTACATTCTTCCTACTAAATGCAGTTATTCATTATAGATATATATATTTTTTTAAATTTACAGCGTGCAAAAGTAACAACTACAACGCCTATGACTCCTGAGTTATTTATGCAATGGAGGAAGAAAAAGATGGAGGAGAGGGAAGCTGGCCTGGCTGCACAGAGGGCTGAGAGAGCAAAGAATGACCGTATGAGGCAAGTAAAATCTTGAGTGAAGACTTTTATTACTTTTACGTGTAGAGGTTATGTTACGTTACTTGTGTACAATAAAATGATTCCTTTCATTTTTTATTTTTCACTCTCTCAGTGGTCGTGAGCTGTTTCTATCAGATGCCAGCTTGTTTGTTGATGATGCTGAAGCTTACGATAAATATCAGAGAGAAGAAGAACCAGATGCTGATCAAAAGGTAATCGACTCTCTATTAACCCACAAAATTCTGCCTGTGATATGAAGTGTTTCTTTTCCCTTGTGAAATAATTTCGCTACAGTTAAGCTTTTAGGGTTTACTTTTTTTTTTTTTTTAAGAAAAGTTTAATATTATATCAGTGGATTTTAAGTGTGCTCCTGAAACTTTTTGGATACAAACATATCCGCTTAAAACAGACTTTTTTGTTGACCAGGATTAGTTTGGAAAAAGATGATATAGTTAGTTGTAAGTGGGATTTTGAGTCTATATTAAAATATTGTTTACAAAATAATAATAATAATAAAGTTGATTTGATGTAAAAGTAGGAGAGATGATGTGAAGTGAGTGTTATTTAAAATTATGTGAGTAATTAAAGTTGATATGATGTATAGAAATGATTGATTTGTATTATTTAATTATATTGATAATATTGAAAATAGTGAAGTTGAGTTAGATTTTAAGTATCGATCGAAATTTTTTGTAAACAAACACCCTTATGGTTAATAAAGTACATACAAGCTACATGGGAGAATACAGTCCTTTTGCTCTTGATAGAAAAGCTCAAGTAGCTTGAGACTAAGAAATTTTTACCATTATACGAGTTCGGTTTTTTTTTTTTTTTTTTTTTTTAATAAATTATTATTATTATTATTATTTATAAAGAAAGGTGCTCCTAACAAATCAAACTCCTCAGAGAAATTCTGTTTGCCAAGTTTTTTTGTGTCTGCTGTATTCTTTGCTCATTTTAGCCTTAAGAACTTATAATGTGAAGAAATCACTTGAAGCAAGAATTAGTCTTTGGTCATGTCGAACAATTTCAAAACGATTTACTTCTGTATATCAGAGGAAAAGAAATACTCATATTTCAAATCTGGTTTCTTTAGCACTATGTTTGTTCAGTGTCTACCTTCCATTAGCCGAGCTTGCATTCATCTGTTGTTACAGGTCAATAAAGATCCCTCTCTTGATCGACTGAGTTCTTCTACATCAACCATACATGATAATGAAGGCAATCCCAATCATGATGATGAAGATGATGACGATGATCTTGACATTGACGAGTTGAACGAGCTAGAAGCCAGCCTGTCAAGAACAACACTGCAAATCAAGGAGCCAGGTGGCAACGTGTGAATGGTCAAGGCTTGGATTCGAAATCTTAAGCGCATTTTTGACTCGGGTTGCTGGTGCTTTGAAAGTACCCGCTAAATTCATAGTGTTAGAAGAGCCTTCTTTTTATGCACAGTATTGTTATGTAGCAACAAGCGAGTCTTTTGTGATCCGATCCTTCTTGTGGGGAATTGGGAATCGGGTCGTGTCTTTGAATTCTTGTTTCGAGTTTGATTCTCATCAAATATTATTTAATTGGTTGGGTCTGTTTTTCAGCTCGATCAATAATGTTAAAAATGTTAAAAAAGATAATTAGACGTGCATTTACATGCTGAAAAATGGTAAAAAAAAAAAAAAAAAATGGCTTTTACAAAGTGTCAATGTTTAAAACTGTGACTAAAAATAATAAAAATGGAGTCTAGAATGCTTATAAACTAATATAGTTTTTGTATACACTTCAAATAGTTCAAAAATTAGTTTTTATTTAATATTATTTAATAACAATTACGAGTAAAAAGAAGAATGCAAAAAATGTTAAAATCACTTTTTATGTTACTGTTAAAAAAATAAGAAAACAAATGTATAATATTAATACTTTATAAAAAAAATTGAATTAAGAATTAGAATTACAACAGGATGGAGTTGAGTTAGGTTGGGTATACTTTTCAGTTTCGGTTCTTCAGAAAATCTCACAGTTTCAAACCCTAGCCTGATCCCGCCCCCGACGAGCTGCAGTACGACACGAGAGAGAGAGAGAGAGAGAGAGAGAGAGAGAGAGAGAGAGAGAGAGAGAGAGAGAGAGAGGTGAAGATAGAGACCTGCGCCAGGCTCTCAATCTGCGGAGTAGGCGCCGGTGCAAATTCTTGTCCGGAGTCCCGTCCGGCGGACATCTGATTCTCGGATCTACAGGTATTGATGGCTAAAATCTTTGGTTTTTATTTATTTATTTATTTTTTTATCAGAGAGTGAGAGACGGCTGTGGGCTGTGGTGTTTGTTCTTGTTCCCAGTTTTTTTTTTCACAGTTCATGTTTATGTTCCCATTTTTTTTTTCACAATTTTTGCTTCCATTTTGTTTGTTTGTTTGTTTGTTTGTTTTTTTGGGGGGCTGGCCAGCTCGCCTAGCGAGCGGCGGCCCGTGCGGGTGTGGGTTGGGCTGGCGTTTTATAGAGTTCCCCACCAAAAGGTGGGTTTTGGTGGGTCTTGACACACCTAGTAGGCAGTATCAATAATTTAATTACATCCCCTAGTTTATACAATACTGAAGTGATTATTGTTCATATGAAGTATGCAATCTGGTTGATCATTTTCCCCGTCTGGCTAGTAGACGGAGTTTATTTGTCTTGAGAGTAGTTATTTCCGTTGAAAAAGGGTAGTTATGGATTATGACTGTAGAGTGAAATGTAGTGCCACAAAGGTTATTCTGTTTCTTCATGAAAAGTCTGTTTTGCCAATAAAGAAATTGATCAGATTAGGTTCGGTCAGTAATCAGACTGAAGTTTTGCGTCAGTTTCGGTACGGAATTTGGTTTTGTAATCGGTGTATCTGAAATATCTGTTATTCATATGAGGCCAAAGGAAACCATAGAAAATTATTTTGGATGTAATTGTTATGCGGAGGTTGAACTGAGGATCTGTTTTTGCCAATTTGCTTGATCTTGCACGGCTAATCGGCCTATAATTTTATGCCTTCATTCCAAAATGATGTTAGCTTGCTGAAGTATGCCTTTACGCATTTCATTAGTGGGTGCAAAGGGGCAAATATTGTTCAATGCTCTGCATTAGTAGATCTTTTGTTAATTTATTAAATGTGAAGTAGTTAACCTGATTTGAATAAAAATTAATACGCCAAATGTATGGTGTTTACCATAATTTCAATTTTCATGTTATATCCGATCTTTAATTTTTCTTGTCTCTGCACCAATTGACCTTTTTTCCTCAACACTGGATATTGTGGAGACTTAAACTGAATTCGCTGTATAGTCTGTAATGCAGCTTTGTGACTTGTTACATTATGTCAACAGCAATTGATGCCTGTATGTTGTACTTTGATCTTACAAAAAAAAAAAAAATTATTTTTTTTATTGGAAAAAGGTACTTTGATATTTTCGACAGGTGCATTGTTTATGAATTATCACAACTTCGACTTGCTTAACTGTAATTTATCGGTTTGCAGGTAACACAAGTGTATATCACCGTTTTTTCTTTCCAGGAAGGAACATTTGAGACAAAGTGCGAAGATTAACCATCCGCCTTTAAA